AATAATAATAATAATAATAATAATAATAATAATAATAATGGTTGGTTAAACTCTCAGGTCATTCAAAAGACTGTGAAGTGCAAGAAATTGCTTTATTTGGAACAGCCCACATGTTGCACGAAGCATTGTGGAGGCACCGACAGTCCGTAGATCTGCTCCTTAAGTAGCTGGTTGTAATCCGGAGTAGATTTTATATTTAGCCGACTCATAAAATCTTTAGTCGTGATTTAGAGAAGTAATAATAATAATAATAATAATAATAATAATAATAATAATAATAATAATGATAATAATAATAATATCGGCTGTGATCAAGAAAGCATTGATCTACTCTTGCTTTTAATCACAAGTTTACCCAAACTATGCAAACGAAAAAAAAATCTATTTTTGATTTGTTGAAATATCAGTGTCAAATAATGGCCTCTGTGATTAAGTAGAAGACTCAGCTCCAGATGTTCCCACATCTAAATAAGCCCCCCAAACCAGACCGACCAGTTTCGCCGTTCAACGTGCAAATGAGGCGGCGAACGGGGGCATTGGGGGGCGGCAAAGCCGCGCTTTCCCAGGTCCGCCCCCCTCCCCCTCTCACATGAGCTCGCGCAAGGCGGCGGGGGGAGGTGGGATTCGCAAGCTGTGGGACAAAACGCGATTGACAAGCCATCGAAGAGCCGAAATACCCACCAAAAAAAAGTCTGTTCGGCATTACGCAATAGAGAGGGCTATTTAGTTTCCCTTCATTTCAATTTCCCCAGAAGGCTAATGTATTCTCGTAATCCTGTTAAGTTGCGCCTCAGCAACCCTCAAGCTAGCTTTTCCCCTCATCGAATTTGGAAAGAACCTAAAGGAATTATACAAATACCTCCAAGGAACCGAGCATAAGCACTGAACAAACACGGTAAATCATACAAAAAGTTCAACAAACCCAAGTTTTTCCCCCCAGAAACCTGGCTACAGAATGAGGAAACACAATAAGAACACTTGAAAACGGCGGCGCACAAAACGAGCTTTCATACGCTGGCGAAAATGTGTTTGGCACACACTAACGACGTACAGAAAGAACGGTCTTCTGTGCGCAGTCCAAACACGAAGGTAGGGAGTTTAGGAGGGTCGAGTTCTACATTTACTAGAAACACTGCGGAGAAAGAGTTGCCGAGAAGGAAAGGGCTCGCTTCGACGCGTTCTCCGCAGCGCCTTTCTGGTCGTCGGTAACACATCCAAGCGAGTTCAAAGAGATTTTCAAACATCAGTGTAGACATGCCAGAAAAAATAATTCATCGGAGGCGGTTCCTTTTACAATTTTAACTAACTATAAATTCGTAACCTTAAATGCAAAAGACGTTAAACAAGACAATCCCGTATCAAACGTATCTATACACTGATCTACCAATAATAAACACCCAAACAAACGTCATTTCTAAATTTAATTCGGAGCATAAAGTTAGGGACAAGTTCCACTTTGCGATCAGTTAGGAAAAAAAAAACTTTCGAAAAGGTAACGAGAAAAAACTGCCGGGAGCTGCCAGCGAGAGAGGGCAGAGGGCAGATTTATCGTTCTGTCCCTCTTCATGCGGTTTTCTGCATTGGCAATGCTGCTTTCGCTAACTGATCAATAGATTAGCTCGTTGATACGTCGCAGAAAAAAGGTCAAGCAAAACGGTCACAATCTTCACAAAGTATATCGCCTTTCAACAGTTAAACGACTAAAAATAATACACTAGAGCATTTTTCTATTAGGATGAATAAATTCCAAATGCCAACACAATTCATTACTAGTAGCTAATTGAAAATATTCCTCGAGTTTCAAACGCAGTCAAAGGAACTGTACGAATGTTGGTTCCATATTTTACGGTATATTAAAATTACTTCCGATAGAATCTCAAACCATGAATGTTTCTCACGAAAATAACACGAATATAATCGTGGCCAGTTGCAACGTGGAAGAAAGTCTAATAACAAACTACTATACCACGATAGTATTTAAGAAGATCATTACCGGCAAGTTCTTAAAAGCCAACCGAGTAATTACTAAACACGTTCTGACGCCCGCGGATCAGCAGTGAGAAAAATTGTTTTGTCGATTCTGAAATAACTTTAATAAACCACCTCAGCGAAAGTGGCAACGAAACAGGAAATCAGCAAGCGGCAAATAGGAGTCGAGAAGTCAATGGGCGAAAGTCGCTTTTTCTTTGCTCTGACGATGAGAATGATCGTACGAGTACATTAAATTACAGATATAATACTGTACCATGTTCCGTTTTCCCTGCAATACTCATATCCACAGTTTTATAATACGATGCGAAACGCCGAGTCGATGGCCGGCAAAAAGACGATGCTTAACTGCTTCGGAATGTTCTCGCCGGTGTAGCCGGAGGAAGAAGGAAGGAAAAATCCTTCTGTAGAAATCGCAGAATTTTTCAATCAGCAGCTCGAGTGCTGACGAAGGTAAAGGAAGGTGTGCTTTAGGGTGGTTATTACGCCGTACTAACTTGAATTCACCTACTTTTGCATAGTTCGCCCTCAACATTCACTCGTTAATATTTGAACATTGAAATCCTCAAAATGTTAAACGTCAATGGAATTATGCTCTATTTAATGCGAATTAAAGATTTATTGTATATTTATTATATTAAACATTTTTACGACTCGACATAAGGAAGGACTAAATCTAACGCTCCGTCTTTCGTTATAGTGGTAACGAATATAAATGCCAAAGGGTGAACTGATTTTCGAGAAAAAACTTGCCCCGTTGGCGAAGGACGTTTCGCAATCTCCACGCTAGACACGCGGCTGGCGAATAGTTGCGTCCACCCCTACACGGCGAGCGCCTCATTTGGTCTCTTATCCGCACGTGACAACAACCGGAAACGCGCCTGGAATAGTCGCATCGGCAGCGCCTTCACGGCCGCCATCTCTTCTGGCGGCGCGGCTCGCACCGGCAGCTGTTCCCATGGCGGAGCCACCGCGGCCGGTCCTCCGCATTTTCGCGATTTCACTTCGAACGAAAATCACCTTCTGACACAGTAATTATAGTAAAACTCCAATTAAACGATTAATTGGGACCAAACCCGTACCGGATAACCAATTATCACGATTAGCTGGTATTCAACCCGATCCGGGGGATCAAATATCCGGATGAATTGGGATCAACCTCCATTTGGATAATCAAATATCCGGATTTCTTGTGAACCAACTCGATCCGGATAGTCAAATATCCGAATTTCTTGAGAACTAACTCGATCCGGATTGTCAAATATCCGGATTACTCGGGATCCAACCCGATCAGGGTAATCAAATTTAAGGATAAAGTGGGATCAAACCCGATTCGGAAAATCAAGTAATCGGGTGAATTGGGATCAAACCCGAACTGGATACTAAAATATATCATTTAATCATATGAAAAAAGTAATTTCTTACCAAAAATGGGGGGTAAATTTGTGTATACTACTACTGGTGAACAACGCGTATAAACTAGCACACACTTGCTGTGGCTGGACAGGCTGTAACAGGTTCTTAGCCCTTCTTGTGTTTGAAAACGACGTATGTATTTCATCTAGCCCTAAGAATCGAAACCACGCTTCATTACAGTTTTTCCACCTTTTTTTTTTTCTTCTTCTTCTTCTCCACTTCCCCGTCCCGCCGCCGTCAAAGGAAGAGCGGCCACACGTCGCGTCCGCCCCGCCATTCGCTGCGCCGAGGCCGTCCCCAATCCCCCGCCCCTTCCCTTCCCCCTGCCGCCGTGGGCCCGCACGCGAGCGGGCCATCAGACGCGGAGGCAGCCCGCGGCGCCTCCGCCCCCGCCCCCACGAGGCGACGCCTGCGTAAGTCCTCAACGCTTCCTCCACAGTTATTTCCGTTGCTGCTCTCGAACGCTTTTGAGGTATTCCGGAGAAAACTTTCACACGCAACAATGGTTATTAATGTTCTTCAGCTGATAAATAAAAGACGGTGTTAAACGTCAAGTCAGACGACGAATACATATAAGAAAATAATATACTGAATACATAATAATAATAATAATAATAATAATAATAATAATAATAATAATAATAATAATAATACCATTATTAATGGCGAGGCTCAGGCCATAGTGCCTGCTCTTCCGTCTAACCACATATGTAACCATACATATAATCATCTTATAAGCAAAGTTATTTTAAAAAAGAAAAATCATCCTTGGCATCATCCCAGCTTTATCCGCGTCTCTTTTGTTTCGATTGTTGACTCACGGTAAACTGTTGAAGGATCCTCTGTCTGGTAGCATTAGGTCGATAATTAAACTGTACAGTATTACGAAAAAGTATAATATCAATAAGCACGCAGAGCTTTTTAGTTCTCGGTTCTCAAGTTTTTTATTTCGTCTCCCAGAGACATCGATGCCGCCCCGGACTCGGATTCCTGAACTCGCGACAGCGCCAAAGCCTCCTCCGAGACGGAGCGGGCAAAAAGACGAAGCTTAACTGCTTGGGAATGTTCTCGGCGGTGTAGCCGGAGGTAGGAGGGGAGAAAAAAAGCTCTCTGAAGAAATCGCCGAAATTTTCCTTCGGCAGCTCGAGTGCTGACGAAGGTAAACAAAGGACGGACGCAGCGCGAGGGCCGATTCTGCTGATGCCGACACGCAGTGATCCGGTGCCGCGAAGGAGGAGGCGATCTCGGCGCCAAGGTGCGCTTTCACCTCGAAGAGATCAAAGCATTTAGCACCGAATCAACCCATTCTTTCCTTTAATATTACAACTCCCGACTAGCATATCTA